GAAAATGTAGATATTGACGAGGAGAACAAGAACCAGTACACACAAGGTCGCTCCGACGCGGGAAAGTTTGAATTTTGGTGTCCCAAGGTCATAAGCATGCGTTACAATGTCGTATCTTTGAAAGCCGATATCTCCCGAACCGAGGAGGTTAAGGTTCAACTTGAGTTCGAAAATGTAGATATTGACGAGGAGAACAAGAAACAGTACACACAAGGTCACTCCGACGCAGGTAAGTTTGAATTTTGGTGTCACAAAGTCATAAGTATACGTTACAAAGTCGTATCTTTGAAAGCCAATATCTGCCGAAGGGAGGTGGTTAAAGTTCAACTTGAGTTCGGAAAATGTAGATATTGACAAGGAGAACAAGAAACAGTACACACAAGGTCACTCCGACGCAGGAAAGTTTGAATTTTGGTGTCCCAAGGTCATAATCATGCGTTACAAAGTCGTATCTTTGAAAGCCGATATCTCCCGAACCGAGGAGGTTAAAGTTCAACTTGAGTTCGGAAAATGTAGATATTGACGAGGAGAACAAGAACCAGTACACACAAGGTCGCTCCGACGCGGGAAAGTTTGAATTTTGGTGTCCCAAGGTCATAAGCATGCGTTACAAAGTCGTATCTTTGAAAGCCGATATCTCCCGAACCGAGGAGGTTAAGGTTCAACTTGAGTTCGAAAATGTAGATATTGACGAGGAGAACAAGAAACAGTACACGCAAGGTCACTCCGACGCAGGTAAGTTTGAATTTTGGTGTCACAAAGTCATAAGCATACGTTACAAAGTCGTATCTTTGAGAGCCAATATCTGCCGAAGGGAGGTGGTTAAAGTTCAACTTGAGTTCGGAAAATGTAGATATTGACAAGGAGAACAAGAAACAGTACACACAAGGTCACTCCGACGCAGGAAAGTTTGAATTTTGGTGTCCCAAGGTCATAATCATGCGTTACAAAGTCGTATCTTTGAAAGCCGATATCTCCCGAACCGAGGAGGTTAAAGTTCAACCTGAGTTCGGAAAATGTAGAAATTGACGAGGAGAACAAGAAACAGTACACACAAGGTCGCTCCGACGCAGGAAAGTTTGAATTTTGATGTCCAAAAGTCATAAGCATGCGCTACAAAGTCGTATCTTTGAAAGCCAATATCTCCTGAACCGAGGTGGTTTAAGTTCAACTTGAGTTCGGAAAATGTAGATATTGACGAGGAGAACAAGAACCAGTACACACAAGGTCGCTCCGACGCGGGAAAGTTTGAATTTTGGTGTCCCAAGGTCATAAGCATGCGTTACAAAGTCGTATCTTTGAAAGCCGATATCTCCCGAACCGAAGAGGTTAAAAGTTCAACTTGTGTTCGGAAAATGTAGATATTGACGAGGAGAACAAGAACCAGTACACACAAGGTCGCTCCGACGCGGGAAAGTTTGAATTTTGGTGTCCCAAGGTCATAAGCATGCGTTACAAAGTCGTATCTTTGAAAGCCAATATCTCCCGAACCGAGGAGGTTAAGGTTCAACTTGAGTTCGAAAATGTAGATATTGACGAGGAGAACAAGAAACAGTACACACAAGGTCGCTCCGACGCGGGAAAGTTTGAATTTTGGTGTCCCAAAGTCATAAGCATGCGTTACAAAGTCGTATCTATGAAAGCCGATATCTCCCGAACCGAGGAGGTTAAAGTTCAACTTGTGTTCGGAAAATGTAGATATTGACGAGGAGAACAAGAACCAGTACACACAAGGTCGCTCCGACGCGGGAAAGTTTGAATTTTGGTGTCCCAAGGTCATAAGCATGCGTTACAATGTCGTATCTTTGAAAGCCGATATGTCCCGAACCGAGGAGGTTAAGGTTCAACTTGAGTTCGAAAATGTAGATATTGACGAGGAGAACAAGAAACAGTACACACAAGGTCACTCCGACGCAGGTAAGTTTGAATTTTGGTGTCACAAAGTCATAAGTATACGTTACAAAGTCGTATCTTTGAAAGCCAATATCTGCCGAAGGGAGGTGGTTAAAGTTCAACTTGAGTTCGGAAAATGTAGATATTGACGAGGAGAACAAGAACCAGTACACACAAGGTCGCTCCGACGCGGGAAAGTTTGAATTTTGGTGTCCCAAGGTCATAAGCATGCGTTACAAAGTCGTATCTTTGAAAGCCGATATCTCCCGAACCGAGGAGGTTAAAGTTCAACTTGTGTTCGGAAAATGTAGATATTGACGAGGAGAACAAGAAACAGCACACACAATGTCGCTCTGCATGATTTTTACCGTTTTTCGGTAAGTATAGTCCGTTTGCATGCGGTATGCCTATTTGGGATTTTTGTGGCCACAATTTTGTGGCCACAATCACGCTCGTCAAAATCGGTTCGTGTGAACGATGTGCGCCGAGCCTCTCCCTTCATGCTGCCGCTTCCCCCTCCGTGCGACCACCCTTGACTGGAATGGACATGTCAAATCTTAGAATCCCGCCGCTCCGCGCCGCTCCGCTCCGCGCCGCGTGACTCCGACAACTTTTCTTGGCACCACGGTGGGGTCACTCGTGTAAATTTTGTCAGAAGGTCAGAAACATGTCTGAAATCCTGATTAAAATTCGCGCACCTCTGAAAGCTGAAATTCTGAAAACTGATGCTGATGTTCATGGCCAGAGTTCTGCAGAATGTCAGAATATGTTTTCAGCTTTCAGAGGTGCGCGAATTTTGATCAGGTTTTCAGACACGTTTCTGAAATTCTGACAAGTTTTACACGAGTGGTGGGCCCGTACAGTCTCGGCAGGAATGAACCGAGGGGCAGGATCTTCCGCTGCCCCGGGACCTCCTGCTGCCCCAGAGGAGGCGCGGCGCAGACCCCCTGCCGTTCAATCCCAGTCCAAATATAAAATTTTTGAAGGATTCAAAATTCGACTTTTTGAATACTATATTCGGAATCCTTGGAATCTAGCGGTTAAAATGATATTTTAAAAATCTAAATTCCGTTAATTACAAAAAATGATAAAAATTTCGAAACATTGACTTTTCCTGGAGCATCTACTTTTACATTTGGCCACGCTGATGAAGAGGAAGTGATTCCATAAAATAAGAAATGAAAAGCATCCACGACCCCCCCCCCCCTCCTTACCCCTCTCTTTTCTTGACCCGTTACGGTTATTCAAAAGCGAAGGTCCTGGTCCTTGGCTCTTTACAGACGCGATGTGGCGCTCGTTGTGTGTGTAACGAATCGGTTCGAGGAAAGCCTTTCATCGTCGCGGACGTTGCCCGCGCGTGTGCGGCGTGCGCGGCCTTGGTTTTAGGTAGTAGAATAATTATGCAGCTCTGTCGAAGGCAAGGGGGTTGCGGGGGCGAGGGCAGATTTTCATTGTCTTTTGCATCACGTGACACAAGAGTGGGAGAAAATGTAGAGCTCTCTTTTGGCCCCGAAAGAGCACTGGACCAGCCCTGTGAAACGCACATTGCAGGTAATGTACAGTCGATTTGGCATGAGTCCTTTACACTTGTGGACATTTGTCTTCATGCCATTTTGTCTTGCAGGACATAGTGGTGAATCCACTTATTCGCCCAGACATCTTTACCGGGCTGAAAAAGCCCGAAAAGGGTGTTCTACTATTTGGCCCTCCAGGCACAGGGAAAACGTTGATTGGTGAGAATGGCATGCTTCAATTCCTTCGTTCCCTTATTTGTTAAAGAAGATTAATTTTCTTTCTTGGCCCGTCCCGTTTATTTTTTGTAAAAAAATGACGGAGGGACGGGCATATAGTATGATGCATGCTGTGCGTCCGTTCGTTCGTTCGTTCGTCCGTTCGTTCGTCCGAGGACTTCCCGTGGTCCGATCTTGACCAAATTTGGTATGCAGCCTCCTTGGGTGACCCTTAGAACCGCCCGGTGGCAGCAAATCCGATCCGAGCCCCGGGGGCGCTGCTGCAGGTGCATCATGGTCTACATGGGGTCGAGGAGGATCTCGGCAACGGATGCAGCTAGCAGGGCATGTAGGGGTATTTTTGGAATCGGTGCGACGAGAAAAAACCAATGGTGCCACTTTCGAACGAATCGGAGAAGTTCGGACCCGGGTTCAAATCCCAGTGGGGTATTTTCGGAACATTCTTTTTATTCGAGTTTTTGCATTGTTTCTGATGTTTTTGAGGGTGCTGATGACGAAAACGACATTTATTTTGACCCTAGACCCTGGTTTAAATTCGTCAGGGTTAAACAAAGGCGAAATTCACACATTTGTTAAGGGGGGACCCTGGTGAAAAAATCGCCAAAATTCCAATAAATAGTATTTTCAAAGTTCATAGATAAAAATGTGCATAGAAGGTTTCAGATTCAACAGGTTGAACACCTTTAAGCTAAAGGGGTAGTTTTTTTATCATTTGGAAGGAAATAACATTGAGATCAGTTGTCGTTGGCTTCTACGCTCAACTTCACAGCTTTGCTCAGTCGACAAAAAATTTTGTCGTAGAAAGACTTCCTGCGTTCCTGGTTGACACCTACATGAGTCGTCTTGCATGGACTCTATTCATTGATGACTTGTCGAAAAATTTTAGTGACGGAATCTTGATATCAGCCCTACTTTTTTTAAAACACACCTAAAAGTTTGAAAAAAGGGAAAAAAATCACTTTTTTCTTAATGTCAAAATTTGAAAACTCATATCTCAGGACAGAAGTTGAATTTGAAAATTCCGTCACTAAAATCTCTTCTATACATCTTTAGGATAACCCAAAAAAATTTTCAAGACTTTCCGTCCCAATGAAAGACGCAGGAAGATTTTTCCCCAACGCTCCAAAAAACACTAAAAAGCCACTTTTCTCAGAGACCGTTCAACATTTTGGATTGAATTTTGTTTTGGGAACTCACCATAATGAACCTAATAATTAAGCAAAGTTTCAACTTCCTGGGATTATTTTGAAGCCTACTTGAAAGTTTCACCAGGGTCCCCCCCCTTAATGTACGGGACGGGCCAAAGTTGCCGATGTATATCGCTACTTTTCCTGTTATTTTATTTAAAATTGTTTAGGAAAATGCCTTGCGTCTTTGGGAGGCGCAACCTTCTTTGCTATCAGTGCAGCCTCTGTGACTTCAAAATGGGTAGGAACTGGTGAGAAGCGCGTGAGGCTTCTATTTAAGATTGCAAGGTAAGAATTAAATTGAGTAATTTTAAGAGTGAATGTCTCCTTTGTTTTGACTAGACAATTTTTTATAATGTCTGGGTTTGCAGAGTGCTTCGCCCGTCCATAATCTACAAAGATGAAGTTGATTCTATATTATCATCAAGGGGGGAAAGCAAGGAGAATGAATGCTTGTCTAGATTGAAAACTGAGATTTTGGCATCACAGGTAAGACCTTTATGATGATTCAAAAATATGACCCATTATAACAAACAGCCTGAGTTCATTCCTGGCAAAGTGAAGAATCCCATAGCTTTGCTTTCCCAAATTGACTTCGTTTCTTTCTTTTGAGGAATGAATTTACTTTCCAGGACGGCCTATCATGCTCTGACAACGATGGTGTGCTTTTGATTGGAGCAACAAATCTGCCACAGAAATTGGACTCAGCAGCAAGAAGAAGATTCACATCCAGACTCATGATCCCACTTCCAGATGCAGAGGTAATCTCAAAATAAATGCATGAGTACTTAGCACATTTCTTAATCCCAATTATGATAATATCCTTTGTATGCTTAGGCGAGAAGAGCACTCATGGCACATGACATTAAAAATGACAATCACAGCATTGATGAGGATGGTATGTCCATGATTGTGAAGAAGACTGAGGGGTATAGCGGGGCAGACCTCCACACTGTTCTGAAGGATGCTGCGAAAGCCCCAATCAGGGAGCTTACCTCTTTGCAGCTCAGGACCATTCCTCTCAATAAGGTTAGTGTCCACCATTTTACTGAACAAACATCTTACTGCATCAAAACCTTGTCACACACAGAAGTATGTAATACAATCAATTTTCTTTCAGATTAGACCGTTTACCGTTGATGACGTGTTGGAAGTATTAAAGACTAGGGGTACGCGCCGTTTAGTTTGGGCGCGTAGTGTGGCTGAGCGATGCGTCTGTCTGTCTAAAATTCTGCTCCCTTTTAACAGATTTGACGTTGGAAAGCGTCACTCAATTCCTCATTATACCGCCCAGGAAAACACTTTTTAAGGCGGGCTCTGTTGGCGCAGACGCCTGATCAGGTCAGGATAGGCAAGCCCGCTTCACGTGCTTGTTCGCCGGGCTTGCCTATCCTGCTCCCCACAGGCGTACACAGGCGGCCTCACGTCACAACGTCCCACTTTGATGTATACAATGTGTGGCACTGGACACCCTCAAGGGCACATGCATATTCGCAGTTAAAAGCACATTCTTTTACGGTGAAGGAGTGAAAAAACCACACACAAACACGCACACACACAAAAAAAAAACAGTTACTGTATAAAAAAAACTGACAAGTTCTAATTGTTGAAAATGGATCTCACGACCGATGAAAAGTGATTTTGAGGAAGCTTTGAACGCCTGAAAGTTTCTTTGTGGCGACGCAGTTTGCATACCATTTGAATTTTGAGATCCTTGGGTACAGCCCAAAATACCAACCACAGCAGATAAGGTAAGTATTCTGATTACGACAAAACAATTGCATATCTCAGGGCCCATCTTGTCATTGTTTAGGTCCCTAAAGGTTCTCGTAATATTTCCTTAAATTTCCTTTAGTTCAGAAAACGTATGACCAAATAACAAATTTAGACTGAATGGTTTTGTTACGTTGGCTACATTGTCAGATGTAAACGGCGGGTAACGGAAGAAAGACCATTTGTTTACGAGGACTGGACCGCCAAAAGGTATGTTTCTCTTCACGCTACTAAAAAGGTTCAGACATCAGAACGATCAAATTTACAATAAGTTTTGATGTGGAAAAGTGCACACGAAGTGATTTGTCATGCAGCAGCACCCGAAGGATTAGTTAGTCAGCACTAATCGTGAGCTGCTCGAAACTTGACTCAGCAGTGTTGTAGCCGTTGGCCGAAGCAGATCGCCACAAACAGTCAAAACACACTTGTATGCTCATCTGTGTTCTGCGATTCTTTCCACAGAAACGATATGTCGGATCAAAGTTTTGTGGGCATCGTGCCGCGTGGAGAAGTGGCCGGGCTGTTCGCGCAGTTCCTCAACCAGAGTGGCGGCGGGAAGGCGCCCTCAGGACGGCGGGAACGGGAAGCGGAGTCCGGGCGGCGCGAAGGGCGTCGTCGTCAAAGCCAGCGGCAGGAGAATCCGCGCCAGCAGCACCGTGGCCCGCAGGAACGGCCTTACTCGCGTGGACCACGCCCACGCCGAACACTGTCACACGACTTGGTGAGTACGATTCGCCAGTATTTTCATCGCTGTCTCTTTCTCACCCAACGGCACGCCCCGCCATGTGCGGAATGAACCCTCTGTGAATGTTTCTCATTTTTTCTGTGTAGCTTCCACTTTGGAATGGCCACCAAATATTCGGTGATAGCATGATGTTGCGGTTTGCGGGGCTCACCACATCTGCAAGGCCATCCTTCAACAAATCTTGTAAAAAAAATTACTATGATAAAATTTGAAACAATTTATTTTACTTATTAGTAACTAATGTTTTTTTTTTTGTCTTTCGCAGTGAATGCCAACCAGCTTGGTTACTGCGTCAGTGGGCAGACCAGCGGTCAACTTCTCCGCTTCATGAAAAGCAAACAACGCCCAAAGATGGCAAAGAAGGCGATTCTTATGATTGGGACGAATAACATCCTGAAGGTATGTCAAATCCTATCCACCTCTGTTGTTTTAGTTTTTTTAAATGGGAACTAATATTCTATTTGGTTATCTACTTTAGCGAGTGCCTCTAGAAGAAAGCAAAAGAGCCCTCTCAAATATCGTCGAAGAATTGAAAAAATCAACTGACAAGCTGATAGTGATGACTATACCCCCAGTTCCAAAGCTAATGAAAGACAAAACTGCTGTGGAGGCTATCAAATCTTATAACTTATGCATAAAAGCAATTCCAAACTGTAAGTTAAAAAATGCAGTACTGATGAAAAACTATATTATAGTTGAATTTTTCTAATGAAAGGTGTTCTTTGTTTCAGCTGATGGAATAATTGTTCAGGACATAAGTCCCTTATTTTATGAAGAGAATACCATAAGGATGGAATTGTTTGAGTAAGTAGATTATCTATCAATTCAATATATTGGATACTTTGGATTAAGTGCTGTAATTGTAATTTTATTTTTCCAGGACTGATCAAATTCACTGGACCAGAGCTGCGATGCAGATGGTAGCTGAACAGCTGAAGGAGACCATTCTATTAAGTTAGTTAGTCAGGCAAGCTCATGATGTTCCTCACTGCTTTGGTAAAAAATAATAACTATGATAATAAATAGTTACTCTCAGAATGTAATGTATATCAGAATGTGATTTCATGTCATGAAATAATAGATTGAAACAATGTTCAAAGACAAAACTTGAGTTTATTGGATTAGATTATTATTTACCAGTCAATTGGAAACAAAATACACTATTGCATACACACAAGAGAGAATGAACTCACTTGATCAGGGCACAAAAAATGTTGTGGCAGCCATTTGCACTGATTACGAGAAACTTTCCAAAACAGACACGAATACAAGATCGAAGTCCACAGACTAATCAGTCGAGACACATTGAAACGGGGGATCTTCACTTATCCTAAAACTCACTAGCCCTAATGCTCACTCACCCTAATTTCACTAGGCCTAATATGTACATGGCCGAACGGGTTTGGAGTGCGGTTTCACTCACCCTAATTTTCACTTGCCCGAATTGTCACATGCCCTAAATTTCTGGTGCTGAGCCGTTTTCCAATGGTGTGGGTGCTTTGTTTCACTAGACCTAATTCTCATTTACCCTAAATGTCATATGGCCGAAAGATGCACGTGCGTAGGAAGTGTTTCACTCGGCCTAATTTTCACTTGGCCGAATTGTCACTTGCCCTAAAACTGTAGGAGGAGTGGGGGTACGGCAGCGGCGCTGGAGGGGCAGGCGAGCGCAGGGCGGGAGACTGTCAATACCCTCCACGGACAGGGAGCCCAGCGGCCCGCCAAAGGGGTTGCCTACCTGCACGGCGTTGGGGAGGGAGCCACTTCTAAGAAGCGTGAATGTGCAGTGGGCTGCATCGTGTTGGGATTGCTTACTTGAACCACAATAATAAATCGAACCCGCGCTGCTGCCACGGGACCGGCATCTGTCCGTCTCGAGGGGTCCACCACTCAGCTCAGAAGTGTATACAGGATGACTGATTACCAGTGATTACCTACAAAAATTCTTCAAAAATTCTTCAAAAAAAAATTATAATTTTGGTCTGCAAGGGACATTTTTTGCTTATCTTTGCTTATTTTTGTAAGAAAACCTTCCAAAAAAAATCGACTTTTCTGCAGGTAGATCACCTTTGTCTCGAAGACAGAAGGGTCTGGGGGGCGGAGCGCCCCAGCCTCGACAAGTTAAAAAGTGACAAGGGTCAAGATCATGTTATCTGTAGATGAAGCAACTCTATCTAGAATTAAGGGGGGTCTGGTGGGCGGAGCCCCCCAGCATTCAAAACGTAAGAAGTTACCGACGATGGACAAGCCAATGCCTGCCGAAGGCAGGCTAGCGCCGCAGGCCAAGGTAGGTACGCCAGGCGCGGATTGGAGGAACAGGCCGCGAGACATCGCGAAGCCTGTTACGACAAGACGCGGTCTGGCGTAAACCTACCTTGTAATCAAATAGTGATACATCTCACTCTCTGAGGGGTGAGACATAACTGTCTCACCGAAAAAGGGTGATACTAAAATGTATCACCGAAAAACTGGTCGTACACGCACGTATCACCGGAAAAAAGGTCGTACACGAATGTATCACCGGAAAAAAGGTCGTACACAAATGTATCACCGAAAAAAAGGTGAGACATCAGTGAGATTGGCCCTTGTTTTCCTGGGGTAGTATCACCCTTTTTTCGGTGATACATTTGTGTACGACCTTTTTTCGGTGATACAAGCGTGTACGACCATTTTTTCGGTGATACATTCGTGTACGACCATTTTTTCGGTGATACATTTTGTATCGCCGAAAATTGGTGAGATGTCTCACACAGTGTTCGTTGCAGCGGCCGACCGCCCCGGTCTATGTAGTCCGCTTGGAGCGCGCGCCGGCCGCCGCCGCGCTGCAGGTCAACTAAAGTTTCTCGGCGTGTAAGGCCCCAGTGCTCGGCGCTGCGCTCGGCCAGCGGGTGGAAACTCTATTGCGAAAATAGGCATGCAGAGGTGTTTTGTTCACGCTAGATCTCAGGATCCAAGAGAGAAAGGTAAAATCCGCGGGCATATTTGGAATCCTCATAAAATTTCACGTGGCGTAGGGTATGTTTTATGACGAAGGTTGAGGAAATAATCGATTATTTTGCCAAAATTTTGCCAAAAAATTGAGCAAAATAACACTTTGAGACAAGGATCGAAACGTTGCATTGTTCTGCTGTGTTCCTTAATGCAAGAGAACGGGACCTCGTAGGGTAATTCACTGGCCATTTTCAGATTCCTAAAGAAAATTCCTGTGCAAAAAGCTGTCATGCAGTCTGCATTACTGTATTATCACAGTCAACCGTCGCTGTGTAACTTAAACAAGGTATGCAGCAACTGCATTGCGTAGAATTGACAAAACAGTCTGCGATTGACCGCATGTGTCAAGGGTACTGACGACCTTTTTTTGACACTCGAAAAGTGATTTGCACAGAGAAAAGTGCGCTGAATTCAGATCTGTGCTCAGATTTTGAATTGGTCTTTCCGTTCTCTCACATTAAGGTGAGGTGTGGGTGAAAATGGAAACTTCTATACCACTAGGCTGTGGTGGTTGAAACTTTAGGGCGTTTAAGTACTAGGTAGGAAACTATAACACACCAAATTTCATCCAAATCTGACCACCCATTTAACCACAGTAGGCTTTTTTCAATGAAATTAAGCGTTTAGTAGATAACAGGAAAAGTAGCGATACACATCGGCAACTTTGGCCCGTCCCGTACATTTAGAAATGTGCGAACCTCGCCTAAACCCCGTCGGGATTTGAACCTGAGTCTGGGGTCAAAATAAATGTCTTTTTCGTCATCAGCACCCTCCAAAACATCAGAAACAATGCAAAAACCCGAATAAAAAGAATGTTCAAAAAATACCCCGCTGGGATTTGAACCCGGGTCTGAACTTCTCCGATTCGCTCGAAACTGGCACCATTGGTTTCTTCTCGTCGCCCCGATTCCAAAAATACCCCTACATGCCCTCCTAGCTGCATCCGTTGCCGAGATCCTCCTCGACCCCATGTAGACCATGATGCACCTGCAGCAGCGCCCCCCGGGCTCGCATCGGATTTGCTGCCACCGGGCGGTTCTAAGGATCACTCAAGGAGGCTGCATACCAAATTTGGTCATGATCGGACCACGGGAAGTCCTCGGACGGACGAACGAACGAACGGACGGACGCACAGCATGCATCATACTATATGCCCGTCCCTTCGTCATTTTTTTTTACAAATAACAGGAAAAGTAGCGATATACATCGGCAACTTTGGCCCGTCCCGTACATTAACAAATGTGTGAATTTCGCCTTTGTTTAACCCTGACGTGTTTGAACCTGTGTCTGGAGTTAAAATAGATGTTATTTTCGTCATCAGCGCCCTCAAAAACATAAGAAACAATGCAAAAACTCGAATGAAAAGAAAGTTTAAAATATACCCCTCTGGGATTTGAACCCGGGTCCAAACTCCTCCGATTCGCTTGAAACTGGCACCGTTGGTTTTGTCTCGTCGCCCTGATTTCAAAAATACCCTTACATGCCCTGCTAGCTGTATCCGTTGCCGAGATCCTCCTCGACCCCATGTAGACCGTGATGCACCTGCAGCAGCGCCCCCGGGGCTCGGATCGGATTTGCTGCCACCGGGCGGTTCTTAGGGTCACCCTAGGAGGCTGCATACCAAATTTGGTCAAGATCGGACCACGGGAAGTCCTCGGACGAACGAACGAACGGACGCACAGCAGGGATCATACTCCGTCATTTTTTTTACAAAAAATAAACGGGACGGGCCAAAAATTCACGGAACCGGCCAAAAAATCAGCCACGCAAAGTTTTTTGACGGAATGGTCTGAAATTTGTTTTGGAGTTACCTAAACCCCTATACTTAAATGTAACAGAGAGATATTTGAATTTTATTTTTTTGTTTTAACTGCACGGAAAAAAATCCGTGGTCGTGGCGACCGAATCTCGATCGCCACGACCATCTTTTTCGATAGCTTGGGGGACTACCGGATTTCTGATCGTGAGAACCATGTCACCGAGCTGAGGCAAGCTGGCCATCAGAACGACTGTGTTGATTGTGACAACCAAGAATAAGGTATCCTAGAACCGTCGTCCATCAGTTGCAGGGAAGGTATGATTTTAGTGCCTCTTCGAGACGACCAGAAAGTTGGTTGAGAGAACCAACTCATCTGACACTTCAGCCGACATCTCGTTCGTGGGGAATTTTTATGCAACGCTCAGCAAACTCTGTTTCAACTTGGTCCGTGGTCCTCGCAAATGTAGTGTTTCTTACACTGTGATCCGAAACTGGCATCACAATCAAAAATGAATGAGTCGGCACGGCGAAGACGCCGCACCGTCGCTCTCTGCCCGATTGAGCAGAAGACAAGTGGTTGGGGATCATGCCTGAACCTAACCTATTGACCGAACGTAGACGCCAGCGAGAGGCAACATGAAAATGCGTTCTTCTCGACTTCAGTGTAATATTTTGTTCAGAACTTTTAGCTGACGGCTAGAGAACATATTTACCGAGGCAACAGACAACATTATTTGCGAAAATTATTTACTTGAGTAACATAAATCGGAAATACTAATAGGCGAACGGGGACGCCGCCACCAAGCGGCAGGTCCGTGAAACCTCGACTCTCAGAACCGAACTTCCTTGAGCAGAGCGGTCGGTTGTGACGATCGGCTCGGGCCGACCAGGTGACTTGTAAGAGGATAAATACGCTAGTTGGTTGTCTGAATCAAGCCGTTCGATGCCCACAATCACTGTAACGACAACTGAGTACATCCGATCGTGACGACCAACAGCTTTTTTTCCGTGTGAGCAAACTTCACAATTTTTGGCCCGTCCCGTTTATTTTTTGTAAAAAAAAATGACGGAGGGACGGGCATATAGTATGATGCATGCTGTGCGTCCGTTCGTTCGTTCGTTCGTTCGTTCGTCCGAGGACTTCCCGTGGTCCGATCTTGACCAAATTTGGTATGCAGCCTCCTTGGGTGACCCTAAGAACCGCCCGGTGGCAGCAAATCCGATCCGAGCCCCGGGGGCGCTGCTGCAGGTGCATTATGGTCTACATGGGGTCGAGGAGGATTTCGGCAACGGATGCAGCTAGGAGGGCATGTAGGGGTATTTTTGGAATCGGGGCGACGAGAAAAAACCAATGGCGCCAGTTTCGAGCGAATCAGAGAAGTTTGGACCCGGGTTCAAATCCCAGTGGGGTATATTTTGAACATTCTTTTTATTCCAGTTTTTGCATTGTTTCTGATGTTTTTAAGGGTGCTGATGACGAAAACGACATTTATTTTAATCCCAGACTCAGGTTTGAATCCCGTCAGGGTCAAACATGGGCGAA